ATATATATATATATATATATATATACACATACACACACATACATAGGTGATGACAATATGTACTGTAAATACAGTAGGCTAAATGAAAATGTATAATTTAATCAATAAGATATATGTATTTTTTTAAAATATACATATATTACTTATTCTTTCAATTTTTTAAAGTATTATAATATTTATATTTTATTATATACACACACACAAATAATAATATGTAAATACAATGAATGATAATGATTTATATAATTAAAAACTATATATATTCAATAATGTAAATATATATATACAAAATTATACATATTAAAAACTTTCAATTCTTTAAAGCATCAATTATAGATATTATAATATAAAATATATTTTAATATAATATAAAATTACGCACAGTTTTTGAATGCATCAAAAACCATTATAATAATACTTAAACCAATCTACCTAATTTTACCCAACGATTGTGTGTGCGCCATGTACTTTTTATGCATATGGAAACTTTTTCCAAAACAGCCACTTATTATTTTGGTTGTTGCCTCTGTAGGCAGTGGACAGGAAGTCAGCTCACTGTTTTTAGAACAGAGCCTCTACACTGAGAACCCTTCGATTCTGCCTCTCCTGTGTCATCATGTTGTTATCTACTCTGAACTTTCCACAGTGACTCATGTATAACCGTATAGCGCATTCGTGCCAAAACCCATGGCATATTATTGCAAGTGAAGCATTATCATGTAGCGCTGTCTTGTGTTATCATTATGAGTGTGTGCACATGGCTGACACACGACATGTTCCTTTTGAGGACAGGTGCCGTTAAACCGCTCTGACTTCCTGCATGCTCCTCCTGAAATGAGGGTACAAGCGTTCTCTTTGAAACCACAGTACAACCCCTAACTGCTCAAAACAACCCTGTTTGATTATCGCTGCTCTCTGAATCCCACAGAAACACATTCACAAGCTCTTCATACAATACAGCTTTTATTTTAACATCTGTTATACTACCAGAACAGATATTAAAGTTTTATTTTTAATTTTTTACCCATAGTAAATGAATGGGTAACTATGGTAAATTTCTATCATGCTAAACCCACATATGACACATTAAAATTATTTTGATTTTATTCATAAACATCCATTATTATGAAACTTCCAAATATCGACAAACGGTTTTTAAAAAATATATAAATTGTGTTTGTCAACCTTTAAAAACTTGTAAATATGTGGAAGATTAAAAACACACTGCTATTAAGTATCTAAAGAAAACGGCTACACAAATGCAATAGAAGGTGCATCTAAACAGAGACACCATATAAAATGTCTTAATATATGCCTTAAGACTTCAACTGAAAGTCTAAAACCAGTTGTTTGCTATAAGTGTGACTTTTCTCTCTTGAAAGCATTTTTTCACGGTAACCTCTTTTCTTTTCAGGGTTTACAAGTGAAGACAGACTATATTCCCCTGCTGCAGTCGCTGGCTTCATTTGGATGGAGACTCACTTGTGTGCTGCCTACACCCATCGTCAAGACTAATAGGTAAAGTCAGTGCCTTAAAGTTCATTATTACTTAACTTCTAGGTTCATACAGTTTCTGAAACTGCAAAAATCAATAGAAAAAAAACAATATTAGTGTGCAATATTAGCTGAAAAAGCTTTAAGGAGAATGCACTGGAAATAGTACTCTATCCAAGACACCCTTATACAAGGATTTGGTACACACTAATCCAAATCTCACTATGTGTACTATATAGTACATGAGATTAGGATTAGTATGCAAATTGGAGTGCAGCCATAGACTTGTGGTATGTTCAGATAGACTTCTAGCGCTATGGGAATTCACATTCACTGACAGCGATTTACTGCAAGACAGAAACCAAAAATCATGCATTTTCTATGAAAGCTGGTGAGCTGCAGAAACACGAGCGATCACTGGGCATTCAACAAAGTAGAGAAAAATTAACTATGCAAATGATCAGCAAAGCAATGCAACAACTACCAATGGGAATGACAGCAAAGGTCATGTGATCCGTCTGCTGTGAGATAAAAAGCATGGAAAGTATGCAAGGAATCAAAGTGAGTTTGATTCATGCATTGATAATAATGTTCATGATATGATGCACTGCCATAATTTATATTCAACACTTTCCTCTGCAAAATGTTCATAGTGGCAAGAAATCTGATTCCATATTAAAACAGAATGCGCTTTTTTAAATGTATTTTTTTTAAATATAATTATACATGACTTATATAAAATGTATACATAACTTATAAATATGAAACCTATTTCATATTTAAAAATGTTAATTATTATTATTTACATATAATTATATATATATATATATATATATACACACATACACATATTCACATGAATATTCTTCAATTGATAAATGTACACACACGCATATATATATATATATATATATATAAATTAGTACTGTCAAAAGATTAATCACATCCAAAATAAAAGTTTTTGTTTACATAATATATGTGTGTGTGTACTGTGTATATTTATTATGTATATATGTATAGACACACACTCATACAGCATATCTTTTGAAAATATTTACATGTATATATTTATATTCATATAAATTATATCATATGTAAATATACTAAATATATAAGCGTAGCATTTTTCTTAAATATATACATGCATGTGTGTGCATTTATATATACATAATAAATATACACAGTACACACATACATATATTATGTAAACAAAAACTTTTATTTTGGATGTGATTAATCGAGAATAATCTTTTGACAGCACTAATATATATATACATATATATATAAATACTGGTAAAAAATGAATAGCCTGAATGCACTGTAAGTCGCTTTGGATAAAAGCATCTGCTAAATGCATACATTTCTCATAATTAAATATATATATATATATGTACAATATATAAAATTTACATTATTTCTCTCAATGATGTTAATTATGTATTATATTCAAATATATTTATTATTCTTACATATTGTCATTGAGTTTGTGTACCGTTATATTAATTTTATATAAGATCATCTTGGATTAATGTTATGACCACCTGCTTATTTCACTGATCCCGTTAAGAGCATCCAGCAGTACAAAAACCATCTACAAACAATAATACGACTAGGTTTCAAATTCTTCCAGCATGAACAGGCTTTAGAGGTAGGAAACATGAAGCCATCAATTGATTTTGTGTAAACACCTCATGAGGCATCATTTCCAACATCAAAAACAATGGTACAGGCCACATAGAGTAATGGTACGTCCCAAACTCCAACTGTGACAAAGTGCTCGGGGTATAAAGAGCTCGGCGGGCCTCATGGAGTCAGATGTAATGACCGGCACAGGCAGTACGGGGCAGAACTCCATGGTTTGCTCGCCGTAATGGAATGTCAATACAAGCTAACTGATGATTCCTGTAATGGCGAGCGGAAGCTCCCGGCGATGTCGAACTGAAGTTCAGCATGTAATCTCCATCTGTCATACCCACGCCTGCGCCGGGCCGATCCCGCCTTGGCCTTTCTCTCACACGTCATTCTTCTATCCGTCCTGCAGCCCCTGCTGATTAATTACAGGCCTATTTTAAACTTTCACAAAATGCCACAACACACAACAGCAGCAATGTGGCTAATTAATCAAAACGCTGTCCTAGATACTCCAGAGCCGTCACTTTTCAATGTCTTTGAGACGGCTGGCCTTGTTTTCCTGGGAGGCGGAGCATACTCGTAGTACTATGAATACCAGCGTTGGTGAAGTTTCATTATTCATGATATAAAGCTACTATTTACTATTTACTAATACAAGCTACTATTTTGAAAAAGTACACTATCATTCAAAAGTTTAAGGTCTGTAAGTTTGGTTTTGTCTGTTTGAAAGAAATTAAGACTTTTATTCAGCAAGGATGCATTACACTGATCAAAAGTGACAGTAAAGATATTTATGTATAATGTTATACAAAATTCTATTTAAAAAATGTTGTTCTTTTGAATTTATCAAATAATCCTGAAAAAAAAGTGTCACGGTTTCTACAAAAAATATGAAGGTTTTCATCATTGATAATAATCAGAAATGTTTCTTGCGTATTAGAATGATTTCTGAAGATCATGTGACACTGAAGACTGGAGTAATGATGCTGAAAATTCAGCTGCGCATCACAGGAATAAATTACATTTTAAAATATATTCACACAGAAAACAGCTAGTTTTAAAATTGTAATAATATTTTACAATATTAATGTTTTATTGTATATTTGATCGAATAAACACAGCCTTGGTGACTTCTTTTAAAAACATTTAAAAATAACTTTTGCTCTTACTGCAATTGTTTATTTATTAATTTGCAATTAATTGTACTTGCAATTAATTGTTTATTTTGCCATTTATTTTACAAGCAGTATTTCACCACAAACTGTCATGGCAATGGCAAACCTATAAATCCTTTTTCTACACTGAATCAGCTCTAAAATTCTTGATGAGCTAGAAATCCACTCTTTGCAAGTATAATCTCTAGTCTAGAAAATGACAAAAAAAAAGTCCTCAAGTAATCACAAACAACCAGAAGCCATCTTGCCAAACCAACAAGGTAATTCCACAGCACTTTTCTGAATGCAGAATGCAGTTTGTTTGTAATCTGCACTGTTATAATGCTTCACGCCGTACCGAAGGCTTGTACATTCATTACATTCAAAATTGCTGAAGTTACCATTCAATTAAGCCCTTAATGATGGGGGTTGTAGGTGGCGTGCGTCGTCCTCTATAAAGCAGAGACGCAGACTAGTTTGGATGCTGGCGAGACTGAAGACCGGAGCTGTAATTTCACCGACCAGCCACTCGTTTACATTTTAATGGACCGAGGCTTGCAGAAATCCAGTTTTGTCTCTTTGATTTAAGCAGGAAGCACTTGAATAAATATACAGTTCCTTGACAAGCAAGAAAATAGGAAGTGGGAAGAAAAAAAGCTGGGCGAATTAGACATTTGGTATTGATTGCCAGCTTATGCCAGAGATGCAGAGGCCCATTTGATGTTAGAGATTTGTAGCAGAATCATAAAGAGAAACGGGGAGCATGAGAGAGCGACTGAGACCGTTTAGTAACACAACTCCAGCTCCGCTGAAGATTAAACGGCTTATCTGAACTGTTTAAATGTGGTTTTACACCAAACACGCACAACTCACAGCACTCTATGTTTGCTCGATGATGTGAAACTTCCTTCTCTAAACATATTTGCGATAGAGCCCTGACAAGACCGCAAGAAAGAACGATTTAGTCATCACAGGATTTCACAAAACAGATATTTTGTTCATCCCTTTCAATGCCGGATGTTCCCACTGCGATCACAGCTAAAAATGTAAACAGATCTCCAGAGTTTTTTTGCACCATCCAGCATTATTGGAGCTATAAATACAAGATAAGATGCTGAATATCCAAACACACTCTAATAAACATGGAGCGACTGCTCTGCAAAGCGCCGGGCAAGATGAAAAAAAACTGAAACTAGCTGGTCATTTAAAGTTGGTTTAAATCAGAGATGCCCAAACCAGGGCCATCCATGCCACTCACCAAAAGGGGGGAAATAGGAAAAAAAACATGCCACTGATACACAACTTCATTTCTGATTTATTTTTTACCTTTTTTTTTTTGCATTGAAATATACAGAATAGTTCATTTATAATATATAATATTAAATATAGCTAAATATATATATATATATATATATATATATATATATATACGTTTAAATATTTAATATAATTATGTGTAATATTAAACAATTATATTTTTTACTTATTCTCTATATTTAATGCATTTAGATATATATTCATGTACGTGTGCATTGATTGTAGAGAATATAAATAAAAAATATATTAATATATATTTTAAAAATAAATGTTATGTGTGTGTACATGTATTGGATTTCTTTTTTTATATTTTTATTATTATTTACAGAATTAAATTACAATACAAGTGTGA